TTGGTTACATCAAGCTGGGTTTTTGGTGCACCCCCCAGGTCACAGGAAGTGATGCTAGTGTAGCTAATTAGAGAAGTTCCTCCTGTTAATTGTATCTTTGGATCAGGTTTCCTGACTGAGATGCCCAGGGGACTTATAGTTATGCAAGTTATGGGAATCCCAGTGCTAACTGTGCTAGCCTTTTCTATTTGCTTACTGTCTTTATGCTAAACTAGGCTAATCACATCCTGACTCTCATGTAACTCAAATATGAGCCTGTCCATCTGAATGTCACTCTATGAAGAAAATCTAGTAAATGTACTTTCCAAACTAATGAATGACTCCGTTTGATGTATCCACCTGCATAATGACATCACCCAGTTTTAGATTGTTTTATTTTCATCAGATAACTAACCAATAGGATTGCAAAGAAGAGTAAATATCTAGAATTATTCTCATGTTTATTGTAGGGGTGTTTTGTATCTTGCAGTATGTCCCATGAAATTTCCTATGATCTCATCTCCATGTCAGCAATATGTAATGTCCAAGCTTTCAATCAGCTCATTCTTGCAGTGACAAACACTGAAAAGCATAAATAAATTAAATACGCTGTACTTTTCCACAGAGATGTCAGAGACTCTAGTCCTACGAAGCCTTTATCTGCTTGGCTTTTTTAGTCTTGGGTGGTATGATCTCAACCTTGAAGGGGACAAAGAAATCTAAAAGAGCTTTTGTTTCTTTCAAGTCCAGAGAATACTCTTGTGCGATCTTTTCGGGACTCCACGTCTGAGGCTGGTGCTGGTGGCTGCCCATAGCCTTCAGAGCCTCAGCAATGGTCAGTTTACCAATGGGAACATCTGTGAGCTCCACCAGGCCCAACGGAGATGCTGGGACACTGAACTTAAGAAGTCGTCGCTGTTCTCTCCCCGCCATCACGTCCTTCGATACCTGAGGGAAGAACAAGCAGTGAAGAATAACTATTATGAATAATAAAAATCAACATTTAAAAACTTTTGGCCAGTGCACATGCAAATCCCACACAGGAAAGTCAGGTTTGAAGTTGTGAATGACAGATTGGCTAATTTCCCAAGTTCAAAAAGTTCCCTATCGCAACACAACAAGGACGTCCACCTTACCTTTATGATACTTTGTGGCATAAAGGTAACCTAATTACATTTGCAATCATAAATGTAACAAATAATGCTAACAGATTTTTTTAATTATTAATCTAACAGATACTGAGTCCATTATTTATACTCTTAGATGCATGCATTAGTTAGATTTTATTTTACAGAGTCAGGAAAGAATATGTACTGTCTGATGCTATCTTAGATATGAAAAAAATGACTTCCAGTCTCAGCGTCAGCAATATTAAGCTTATTAATTTAACACTCTTATTGGAACTTGAACATAACTGGACCTAAACTGGATTAGTGCATGCCTAACATGCATCTACATATTTGGTTGTTCCCTTTGAAATGTCTTGAGATATGAACAGCTATGAACAGATAAAAGGTCAAATTTAAGTAATGTGGATGCACATGAATATTTGACTATTCTGATTAAGAAATAGAAGCACAGTCACAGCTGTCCTCCTGCCATCATCCAGCTATGGACAGCCATGGTGGTATAAATTGGTCTGGCAGAGCCACAGAGGATTCAACTCTTCTTTTTCAAATTAAAAACTGAAAATAAAACTGATTCATTACAACACAGCCAAGCCTAGAATCATGGGAGCTGCAGGTGATTTATCACTGGTGGCTCACTACCATCAACATGGTTTGTTTGATGAGTGTTGATTAGGTTTTTAAATTTCTGTCACCTGATTACCAAGACTTGGATGGATAATTCTAAAAATAAATAAATAAATATTTTTTTTTTTTACTCGTGAGCACAAAAGCTCGACCTATTGTTTACGAAGACCAGCCAATTAGAAGAAAACAGGCTTAAAGGGAGCAGCAGGAGATTAGGCAGCTTGTTTCTAGACAGCAGCTGAACAGAGCAAAGACTATTTTTGAACTGTGTTCATGCAAAGCTACCTTAGCAGAGTCCAAGCATGAAACATATGTAGCTGGCGATGATAATGATAGTTCCCTTTTAACAGCCAGTGTTAATCAATAATGTATTTCTCTATTCTTCATAACACAGAATACATGAATGTCTCAACTTTGCAAAGATTCGACCTCTAAACGTCTGAATGACCCAAACTGAGAGCAAAAAAAAACTGACAAACAATGAATGATTGAGCAGAGCTGATGTAACAGCATTCAAACACTCAGGCAGAGTCAGTCTGACCTCTGCTGCAGCCGGTGCTGGATCTCTGGACTCCACGTACACGGACCTGAGGTGGTCCAGCAGCGGCGCGTTCTTCTGGTTCAACGAATCCACTTCTGAAAAACACAAACCGACGTGAGAATCGTCCCCGAGCTTTCTGAGGACACACGGATGAACGGTGAGCCTACCATGACCCCGGGTTAACTGTTACACAAGCCAGCTAGCACTCACTCACTTACCCTGCGAGCTGGAGGCTGTCGGTGGAAGATTGACCGAGTGCCGGGGCGCCGCTCGCGGCTTGTCCTTGGAAAGTTCTCGGTGCACTCGGTTTTCCAAGTTGTAATTCCTGAACACACGCGTAACCCGTGCACCCATGTTTAACAAATTGTCAAAGCCCGCTATGAATAAAGTTGATTCAAACTGCCGACGGCGAGCGAGAAGGTTCTTTTTACAGGCGGAAATGTGAAAAGCGCAGAGGAAGCAGCAGCTACACCGTGTGGTTGGATGAGTTTATTGTTCCCCAAACGTAAGGATGCTGGATACAGGTCTTAGTTAACTCAATAAATTAAGAAATAAATAATTAGTCTCATAATTTAATTGAGTGTTTTTAATAAAACATATCTTTTTTTGTTTTGTTGTAAAAACCTGACTGCCAGTTTTAACAAGAAGAATCGTGATCTGAATGCACTGTTGTGTCAAACACACTTGCTTTGCCACGTGATGAACTCTTTATAGGCTCCTTTTAATTGTATTATTTAAAAAAAGAATTGTTCACATTACCATTTGTGCAGTTTAACAGTCAGTGTAAAACAGAAGAAAGGAGAGTGACAGAAAGAAGAAAAAAGAGAGAAAGAAAAATAAATAGGAGAAAATCTAAATACAAAGGACACAGCGTAAGTAAAGTAAGTGTATGTGTATGTTTGTTTGTTACAAAACATACTTAACAATTAGGGTGAGAAGCCAACTATGTCTCCAAGGAGCCCTACTGAAGATGCAAGGACATATGTCCTAAACTTTGTTTTATCCAATAAGATAAACTTATCTCACTTTGTACTCATTAAAATTCAAAACAATAAACTCACTAGGACAGTGTTTATTGAGGTCAGGAGATCCAAGGGTGGTTTTCCATATGGCCATGAAACAATCTTCTGTTTCAAGGCACTTTTCTTTTCCACTATTTAATTCCCAAAACTATCCATCTTTATATACACAGCAGAGTAAACCCAAGAAAGGATTTAGGAGATGATTCAGTAAGAAAAAAGCTTCAGACAGCCTCAGCTTATGGTATCATTGATCACTTTGTATATATCAGTTATAACCCTAAAATGTCCAGCAGAGGGCAGCATTTAATACTCTATCACATTCTAAGTGGGGTTATATGGCTGGCCTCTTTTTGGGGTTCAAGCTCATCAGATGTGTTTTTCAAACATGAACTGAACTGGCCCGTCAGGCCTGGCACAGGGAGGCTTTATTTGTTATTGAAGTAAAGGAAATAAATGAGCATTTAAACAGGTCAACAGAAGCCGGTCTTCATGTAAGGCAAGAAGCTGGGAACACATCTGGAGGTAATTATCTACTCAATCATAAAGAAACAGTTCACAGTATTTTTGTGAGGAGTGGAGGAATCAGCTCCCAAACTGGGAGCTGATGGAAGTCAATAAAAGGCCAGCCAGTGATGTTTCAGTTACATCAGCTACTGTCTCAACAAGAGACAACGTGAGGTAGGTTTTATTCCAAAACAACAACAAAACAGTGCAGCTGGAATATGAGAGCTGCTGATGACTGCTTATCATTGTTGTCTGTGAGGAGTCAGCAGATAATGTGACAACTCCAAATATTTCCTCCTCCACCAGTTTCTGCTACAGTGTTTAGAGACAAGCTGCGCTCATGATGTGTACAATGGAATGGCATTGTGGAGACTACGAATGAGGCAGAACAGGCATATTTCAGGGGGTGCCGGTGTCATTCCACATGTGTTCATCTGGAGCTGAACAATAACGCAAACAAGGTGCCAAAAAACTGCAGTTCCTCTAATGTCCAAAAAAGAAAGTCTATTTTTAAACACACAAACATTTCACAGCCTGATAGAAAACATCAGTTTTGGCCTTTGTGGTTAATTTCTCCTTTCATAGCAACTGTATATTTTCAGGAAAGGCTCAAGGTTAGGGGTGTGGCTGCTTTATTGACATGTTAGTCCACACCTCTACTAACTAGAATCCCTGAATTAGACCACACAGACTGTTTGTACTTTTAGTATCTTTTGGAAAATAAACTTTTAATAGGACTATCTGACAAATAATATTGTGCATTGTGTGCTAGAGATGGTCCAAGAAGTCTGTTACCTAACAATTATCAGATGAATGTGTCTGTGCATTACATCTGTACAGTTTATAAATACAGCTTTGCTAGCTAAGCTATGATGTGTTAGTTGAGAACTTAGCACTGTGTATGGTCACTTCACTGGGCCAAACTCTAATGTTACACCAAATTACAACCCTGTCAGCCAACGGTACATGAAAAAATAAGTGATGTAACACACTGAAGTGTTGATCAGCATTTGATTCCACAGCTGTAATGGTGCCGTGGCCATAGTACTGCTCATACTGTAACACGCTTACAGGACACAACACACAGCGAATTGAAACTTCTGCATGTTCTAACTTTATTTACAAATGGTAAAAAAAGAGAGACCAAAAAATATATTTTCGCTTTAACATAAAATATATACATTTACAAGTGTTGCTATCAATTGTGTAGAGCAAGACAAATCTCAAGTACAAATGTGGAGATGGCATTGTAGTTGAGAACACCTCAGTGTACTTCACACAGATCTCTAAAGCTCCACAGAAGCTTATTATATTAGAGGTCGTCTCCTCTTATCTTGGCAATTCAAACATTCCTACTTGGAATCACTGCTTTTCCTAAACAGACACTCATTACATCCCACAGAATTAAAGCCACTGTTAGAAACAGTCAGAGACTTCAGAAATACCCACATGGAAAAGACAAAACTCTTACAGTAAATGTTTATGTATACTGCATGTCTCATACTATGATTTTTCTGTGAGATGACAAAAAAAAAGACTACTGTTTTTTCCCATAAGTATACACTCATTACCAGAATGCAGTCCTGATCTATAGACCAGTAATCATTAAGTAGCCCTGAGGTAAATGTGTGATTTTGGGCTGTGTAAGTACAGAACTTTAAGATTTATATCACAACATTAAAGTCAACATTCCAAGATTGTTTTGTACGCAAAAAAGTTCAAATAAAAATCTTCAAATGCTAAAAAGTTGTTTTTATTCAAATAAAACAAATTATTAGAAGTATATGTGGGTGGGGGCGGGGTTTAACGTTTCTGCCAGTGTTTCACAAAGCTGACTCTCTGCCAATCCTGAGTCAGGGAATGTTTCTCAGAAAAAAGCAACAAACATTAAATTAGCTCATGCAAATTAATTATCTAACATTACCATTAACTGTTTTTTATACATATAAAAATTAAAAAATAAGAGTAAAATCTGGTATAAATTCTGTGCCTAATCAAAACATGGATCCATCCACTGTGGAAATAAGGGAGGAGCTGAAAGTACACCGTGGATACCTTTAGTGCCCTCCCACTGGCACATATATGCTGCTTTCTCTTTGTGCTTGAAATAAAAAATAAACACACCACAAACAAACTCTCTATTATTCTGATTCTGTATTTCAAGTTCATTATTTACCTGAGCAGTCTGACATCATTACAGCTTTCACCAGCCTAGCACTCTTTAACTTGGCGTTTACAGCTCCATGTGGGTATCGCAGTACGAGAAGATGTTATGGTGAATGTTTGTACCATGATTTCATTCTTGGCTTTGGAATTATTACACACTCGTGAGAATAAAAGCAAAAGTTGTGATATTACAACAATACAGGTGATAATAAGATGCGCTAGAAATCATGAGATTAGGAGCAAAACTTGCCTGACTGATACCAGCTGTAATGTTACAAGATGCTCATACTATGTGATGGAAGCTGGATTTGTGATTTAACTTTGTCTCACACCATCAACACTTTTCTTGTAAAATTAATCTTTGAACATTCCACCTTTTTCCCATTTTTTTTTCTTGAAATCTCAGTTCTGTTTTATGGAACAGTGGCCTTACTATCCTGTCATAAGACCTGGCTCAGAGTGAGGTGTGAGGTCATTCAAACTGCACACGGATCAGCTGGCGTGCTCAGTACACTCGTGATGTCAGCACTGCGTGTGAGAGCAGGAGGAGTAGAGGTACAGCAGGATGAAGCAGTCGATCAGAAGGATGCTGTAGAAACATCTCTGTGTGTACAGACTCCGACCCCTCTTAAAGCGAGTCAGCAGTACAGCCAGCAGTAAAAAGAAGGTGGCCATGTTCAGGAGGAGGAACAGGCGTATGTAGGAAGCCGTGCTGGGTAAACTGTCGCTTCCTGCTGTGGCGACCATGTGAACTTCCTTGAATTTGCGACCCTTAAAAAAGCCCCCCTTTCTGTTCTTGCGGCTGTCCGCGTAATCCACAAAGGCTCGCGTATCTGCATCGCCCTCTTCTGGACTGTCATCATATGTGCGCTTTGAAGTTCTCTGTCTCTCTTTCTTTTCGTTCACCTCAATCTGTGCAAAAATGTCAGGTAGAGTCTCTGAGAGCTTGTCTCCGAGGTTCACTCTCTTCCCCCCCTTACCTTTGCTCTGTTTTCTGGACATAGCGAACATCTTCTCAATGGCTTCCTCCGTCTTCTTCTTGTCAGTGAACTGGAGGAGGCGCTCTGCTGTCTTTCGGAAGCTGACGGTGTTGAGGACGCGTCCAAGGATGTGCCTCTCCATCTGCTGGAAGACGGGCTTGACGTGTTGGAGGTTGTCCTCCATTAGGCTGACGTATTCCTCCACTTCCTCTGGAAAGCTGCTAACCTCAGCTGCTTCCTTCTCAAATACGATCTTCTCGTTGTCCAGTAGCACCATGGCAAAAAGTGGCTTGCTGGTGACCTCTGCAGTCAACAGGTAAATTGTGTAGATGTGTTTCTTGGTGGCCAGGTAGATATCCACCCTCTCATTATCTCCACGCAGGCTAAAGCTCTGCACATCCACACCTGGTCCAAAGAAAATGTAGGCCATCCTAGTGTGAGGGTACCTCAATGGCATTGTGACATTCACATAGTTGGAGCCATTATAAGGGTATCCTCGAGGGTAATTCCAGTAGCCTACCACCCCTTTGTTACTGTAGTTTGTGTCGTCCATCCAGAACATCTTATATTTATCCTCCCCGTGTGATATAAACGCTCCATGAACACCATCTACCTTTGTACCTTGGAATGGCAGCTCCGTGTTGTGAAAGAAGGCACTCATGGCACGGACGGGGCTGTCAGGATCCAGGTGGATGTGGTCGACAACAAGCAGGAGCTGTGGATGAAGAAGGAGCAGGTTCCTCTGGACATTCCTGATCTTCAGTTCTGGATTGTAAGCAGAACGTCCTTCTCCTCGGATAAAGATCATGCCCTTCCTCTCTATAGCAGCTTCCACTCTCCCCTGAGCATCAGCAGCTGGCCCCATCTTGTACTTTAACCACTTGGAATCACAGGCTTCTGTAACCTGTCCAGCCCATGGCTTAAAGCAACTCCCTGAGAAGGCTGAGCTAAACAAAACTGCATTGTTTAACAAGGTATACTTTGGTCCATAGAGTGCCTCAGTGACGAACGGGACACCGTTGGGCGCAAACGTGAAAGAGTTCTGATCAGGGTGTTCGTGGCCGGCATTAAAGTTCCTCCACCCTTTAATCCACTCTTTGTACTTGTTCTTATGAACAATGTCAAAGATGGCACGTCCCCCCAGCTTCCCTGACTTGAAGGACAGAAAAGAGCTGTTGGTTTTGACGGGTAAAGCGCTTCCATATGTTACCACGCCCCAGTCCTCAAAGTAGTGGAGCTTGGGTGTTCCAAAATCTGATGGGGGTTTGGGGACCAGGCCTGGGTCATACCTGCAGAACCAGAGGACATATATTATTGACCCCAAATCCAAAAAGTTGGGATGCTATCTAAAATGTAAATAAATGTACCAATTCATGTACCAATATTTCCTGAAATCAGGAAAAATATTTGCAAATTTTCAAACCTTTCAAGGAAAAAGAAATTGTCTGAAAATTTGAGCAAGACAATGCAAAACCACATCCATTATGTATATGAGTGGATTTTCTAAAATCAATGACTATATTTCATCTTAAATATGTTTAACTGAGTATCAGACTCATTACACCATTTAAAAGAACCATCATGGACTGGGCTGTGGCTGGTGTTATTATCTTAGAGCAGTCATTTTTATTTTAAAATAATATTAAAATATTAATTAATAGTATTAAAATGTTAATCAAAGTTAATTGAGCACATGTAAACGCAGAGACTGGCACTGTTCTATTTAATGCTGACCGCCAGAGAAGACATTAAGTACCTGGATGACTCATGCCAACAAAGTCACAAGAGATTCAGACAACAACTCAGTCACAGACCAAAGGGCCCTGCACAGCTGCTGTCACCACAGGATGAGGGTTGACCACATTAACCCTGCAGAAGCAGGCAAAGGTACAGGAAGAAGCTCAAGAACTGTGGCACAGATGTCACTGAGGGAAACATCTCTCCACAGCTCCACTCCTGGTGGAAGGACATTTCACAGGTGAAATTTGGAGGCCCTGAAGTCTCTACACTTCTGAAATGGTATCAACAACCCAGTGTAAAAGCCTCTGTTTGTGCCTCTCATGATAGACCAAGACTGCATCTATCTTACAGAAGCCAGGAGTCATGTCAATGTACAGTCTTAGAGCCTGAACAGGGCAAAGTATGTCAAGTATGTGAGTGCGTTGATGTTTCCAAAGCAAACAGATCACTTGTCGCCATGCCTTTGCTAGATCTACCACTGGCTTCAGCCTCCTCTCATACACCAGGGGACTTTTAGTCAGAAATGATGTCTGACTCATTCTCAGAAGGTGAGGAGAGACTCATGTTAAGAGCTGCTGAGCCTCCAGGAACTGACCTGATCTGGTGCCCCCATTGGTTATCATGATACATGTTATCTTGTGGTCTCTCACAGCACCACAGCCTTAGAGGGAGGAATCTATAACCACCACTTCCCCGTGGAAGGGAAGTGATGCAAAGGAATACCACGAGTCAAAAAAAGTCCAGTTCCTCCAGGTGTCCACAGACTGAAGGCACTACTTCAACACTACCACTGGCCTGTTTTGGTCCCTCTGGGGGTCAAGGCCCAAGCTGTTGATCCAAACCTGCAGGGGGCCCCAAGAAAGAAGCCCCAGTTGCTTCCATGACTTCTGTCAGTTTCCCCAGCAACTGAACAAACACAAGAAGAGTTTTTATGTCTAAGGCAGTCTGCATCTGAGTAGGGCCGCATGTCAACTAATTATCCAAGTATAGAAAAATCTGCAAGCCTGTTGCTTTCAAGGGAGAAAGCCACAATACACTTGTTAGGTGTTGGTTAGCACCCAAAGGTCGGTGACCAAGGCCTCCCAGTAGCTGAAACGTTGCAGTGAGAAACAGCTGACAGCAAAACTTTGACATTCAGGATGTCAGGCTCGAGTGCTGCCTTGCAGTTCTCTCAGTTAATGCCATGCAGCCGCAGTTGATGCAAGAATAATTAGTGGGGGCCTGTCTCATGCTCATTGCCAAGAGACGGGCACCTCTCATGGCCATCTGTCCTGTTAAATGGATGATCTTCCAGCCCAACATTGGCAAGTGTAAAAAAAGGCAACAATTTATCATATTATCCATTTAAATATACATGCAAAATTGACCAAATGACCAAAGAGTGACGCCTGACAAGATGTGCAGAAGTGTATGTTAAAGTACTGTCACTAACAAAAAAATGATGAAATTAACCAGAGCAGCTTACCAAATGAACTCTGTGTGGAGAGTACACCATCGCTGGCCTTTTCCAGCTTGCCCCGGCCCTTCCATTACCCTGTTTTGATGAATCAGATCTGCCAGCCAGTTTCCACTGCCATTACGCAACACATAGCGGTCCAAAAATACCAGCTGGCTCTCTGGCCCGTAGAACCAGTTATAGTTGGAATCTGCAATTGCTACAGTTCGCTGAAATCCTGGTGAGATGGTGAAAACACAAAGAAGACAAAAACACCATATTTCATTTGTAAAGGGTACACATGACAAATAAAATGTTGTACTGACTGAGTTTGAGGTTTGTAGAGCCAAAAAATGTGCAAAAATAGCACTTTAAACACTATGAATTCTTTGCAAATTACAAAACTTAACCACGCAAAACTCATTATGAAAGGATCTGGCTTGTGATCACAAATGTGTAACAAAAGTGCATTCCCATCTTAAACCTCTGTGGCCCAGCTCAACTCCACACTAAGTGCAAATTGTTCACACAGTTTTGTTGTCTATAATTACATAAGGAAACTCTTGCTCTCTGTTGTTGAGAGGGTTCTTAGAAACCCGTTATAGTAACTACAACATGTCATCACAGTAAATCATTTGTCAAACCCAAACACTCGGGAACTTATAGCACAAACACTGTCAAGGTAAGTTTCTTCGGACTTATAAAGCCCCTGCTTTCAGTGTAATTTACACTCAAACCAAAGTTAATGTCTTCATTTTATCCTTTGCTTATCCTTATCCTTTGCAGTACTTAGATTAGTTTTGCATTGGACCATGGGTAGAATTATATTCCTTGTATCTGTATAGAAATTAACCTTTCTTCATTTAACTTTAAGTAAACTCTTTTTGTCAGTTACATTGCAAATGAACTGAAAATAACGTCTATGAGAACGTTGGTCATTTATATTTCAACTGACTGACTCTCTAATCCTGTCAACAGTTTTAGAAAATACAAGCAACCATACAAAATACAAAGATACACAACAATCCTCCACAGTCTTTCAGCAACACCCACTACAACTGACCTTCCACCTTTTTTCATTATTCACCCTCCAGCTTGTACTTCAGCCTAGCCTTCATTTTGCTTGGGTGGCATCTGTTTTTAGGTGCACTCACACTTTCCTGACACAGACAACTCACAATGTCATGTTTGTCAGGATGATAAGAAGGTCTATTCCAACTCAGGAGATAGCATGGGTCAATCCCCGGCAATGCCAAATGCATGCATTGGAGTAGGTGTGATGGACAGGGCTTAAAGGGATGAAAGCGTGTGTACACTGGTGGATGTGGCTTACAGTAAGCGTTTCGAGTGCTCAGGTAAACACAGAGGTTTTACACAAGTATCAAACCAGGTAACTGGAATATATGGCACGATGTCACAAAAATCATCTCCTTGGATAATGCCTGTCATAGATATATGGAAACTCAACAGCCCAAAAAGTTACTATTTAGTTACTATTTAGAGCTTTTTTTAATAGCTCTCTGAGCTCAGCTGCTCTCATCCACCAGTAGACTCTGTGCTCTGGTGGCGTTTTTCATGATCACACTTAAATCCAGATTGGAGATGGTTGGCGTGGGTAGTTTTGCGTAGTATATTACCATGTACTATGATATTTAGAAATCCAAGCAGTATAATTTGCTTACTTTACTTAACTTGTATGGAGATGCAGTGTTTATGTTATTTAATCAGTTATTTTTTTTATGCCTGTCATAGATATATGGAAACTCAACAGTTTTCATATATATATGACATAAATCTTATATGTCATATGAGTTAATGAGAGGAAAGACAAAAAAACACTACTCCTAAATTTTGGATTTAGTCATTTAAAAATCGCATCTCCTTAAATTACATGTCAAAATGCTACTGACTTATTATAAGGTTGTTATCTATTTCAAAATCTATCTGGAAAAGTAGCAATGGTAAGTAAATCTGCCATTCATATAAAATAGCATATGGACATGCAATTTAAATTACAGGGGACAGCGATCATTCAGGCTGCTCCGAGGCCAGTTTGGGATAATCTGGCCTCGTCTTCCTGTCTGGTAGGAGGAGAAAGCTGCTATTGTGGCTCTGAAGCTCAGGCTCTCCTGGTCAGTGCAATTAGAGGTGCTTTCTGGGTGCAGAATTGCTGCTCAGCTACAATATAGAAACTGTCAGCAATTGGCTGCAAAATGCCTGAGTCTGACCTGGGGGCCCCTCCTCCCACTGCTACCCTCGCCCTGACCTCCAGACAAAACCCCCAGGACACCACAGATCCCCGCATGCCTCAGCACAGCTTTGTCAGACATCCAGAAAGGTAATAACTACACGCATGCATGCCCCATATCAGTTCAGAGGAGAGGGTGCTCTCCAGCGGGGCAGCCTGAGGTAATTTTCATGCCTAAGCTAACATAATGAGGCCTTTGGCTGGAAGCGTTCTAGTAGGCATAAGCCAGATGTCTAGGCCACTCATAGCTGAATAAACACTTCCTCACAGGTTACTGACTTTTTATGTGCTTGCCTAAATATAACCATTACAGTAAAATAAAAAAAAAATCACATAATTAATTTTGCTGGCAGCATGTGGCGTCACTGTTACCGGGCAGGATGGTCCTGTACAGAAAGGCAAAGTGTTTAAGTAGCCAAGAGTGGTCGAAGTGGCCGATGGCAAAGTGGCGTTGCACCAGGAACATGTACTGGAAGAGAGAGCGGGTGGTGTAAGTCCCATATGCTACTCCTTCATACAGGGAACCGTCGGTCACATCCTGCAGGAGAACCATGGACTTCTCCATGATGGACAGGACTTGCTTTGTCCACAGGTAGGCCTCCTGAAGGTAACCTGGAACACAGGAAGTTCAGATGGTGTCAAAAAATCCAAAACTAAATTTAAATTTCAGTTCATGAAACACTTTCAGAGTTGACTCTGCCTGTTGATGGATCTGAGGGTGCCATATAAAGAAAGCTTCCATATTTAGCTGTGGCTACATCACACAGCTATGCTACACTGCACCATATATACTCCTTTAGACATAAACACAGACCAGATCACACACACAGAATCTACTATGAGAACATGCAGCCAAATAAACACTGTAGCCACAGTTCACTGAGGAATCACGGGCTGTCAGCAAACTCTGGCTGACACGCTCCCCACAACACCCCCCTTCTCTGAGACATGGTCCACCCATTGGAGCCATCCCTGAATGGGTTTGGTTTGGTTGGGTTTTGTGTACAGAGCAGGTATTTACAAGTCATCAAACAGGGACACAAAGACTACATTTACACAAACAGGGCTTAAACAGTGCTTACAAAAGTCCAGGAGCCAACTTCAGAGCTGTCTGTCACTTTAAAATAATTAATGTCCACATCCCGTCATTTCACACATTTAAAAGGAAACTGCAATATAGAAAAGAACATAGATACATTTTTGATTTGATTTTGCTGTGAAATGAAGAAAGAAAGAAAAAAACATATAGCGTTAGTTCAGGCAAGCCGTTAAGTCAGGCTCTACCACAATCCTGGCAGATCAGCTGATGTCTGTCCCATCCCACATCAGCTGATATCCTTCTACAGATCCAGTTGGCAAATTTCATACAGGAAACGGAGTTTAAGCCGCTTAAGTTTTCCAACAGTCACTGCACATCTGTATTCTGTTTCGCAACCTACTTCCACCCCAACTTCTCAGGGAAGAATCAGGCTTCTTTTTACTACAGTGAGGTACAGAGGTATTAATAATCACCATTCATGTATGACGTGACAGTTAAATGTTGTCCACAGAACATCCAGAAATCGAAAACACAAGTCACTGTACTTGTACACCAACATTTACAAAAAGGGAAAAAAGGCTCTATGAGCATGTGAGCTCATACGCATGTACATAGAGTAGCTGTTATCACAGAGTCTGACGCTGTGGACAGCTGACCGACAGAGGGCATGATGCTCTAAGTGCTAGGAACCACATCTACCAGCTCAGCCTTCAGAGCACTTTCACTCTGCACTCCAGAGGAATGTGAAACAGCAACTTTCCACTAATGCTCCTGGACTCGCCGAGCAATCCTTCAGTCTCTCTGGACAGCCGGTTAGTTTCAGGCAATACGGACCAAAATTAACATCTTGACACAAAAATGATCTTATCCCTGACAACAATATGTGAGATGTCACAAGGACATGTTCTTTTTGAACGGACGGATCAATAAATACTCATCTAAAAGCAAGCGACAGAATGCTAGTCGCCTCGCAGCAACGCTTTTCTTTTTTTCAGCCTGGTGGTGATCTGGTTTTTTTGAATCTGAAGAGGGAAGAGGAAGAAACACGAGAAAAACCCCCTTAAAGATCAAAAAGTCAGACATTAGCACTTAAAGTAACACCATCAAATATTTGTGTATAGGTGATTATCGCTCACAATCTTGAGTGCATCACTTCATGCATCAACCCCCAGAAGACAAAAAGATAAACATAACTAAGCCTTTAAGCTGCGACACTTGAATGAAAATAAAATTGATTTGGTTGCAGTTTTTTAACAGAGCTGTGTAGCTACTGAACAAATGAAGAAGTTCCAGTCCTTAAACAAAGTTAAGCAAAGTTTAAGCAAAGAAGACATTATTGTTCCATGTTTTTCACATAAAAGCTCAAATGTCTATATATAAATTCAGTATAACTCAAGCCAGTCTTCTGTTGTTTCTTTAATATATGTTTATTTTGAAAAAAAATGTCTATGTAAGCAGATCTGCCTCTTGTTATACTGATTAAAATTATTTGACCCTGTGTGTCAGATAAATAATTAAATGACTTTTGGCCAGTTTTGATATCTGACCTGTAGGAATGGGCGTACACTGCTACGATGAAAACATCTTTAACTCATTCTCAAACTGGCAGCAGTGTGCAAAAAGCTTTTGTCAGATAACCTATGAAGAAAAATATAGTACGTAGTTTTTGGCAGCGATAAATGGAAAGCTTTCAGTTATTCAGAGCCAGGACTGAATTTAATGCCATGCCTAAATTAAGTTTGAATTAAGCGCAGCGTTAGACATGACGCCTGAATGAAGCTGCTAAAAAAGAATCTGAAATGAAGCAGATTTTTTTTGGATCACTTAAAATCGATCATGTGTTGCTAAACTATTAGGAAGCAAAGTTCTTCACCCCAGTTAGTTTTTAAACTCACATCTTTGCATGAGGTTGTTTGTAAATCACACTTTAGTGTGTGAATGTGTGTGTGAATGGGTGGATGATTGTGTATAGTGTAAAGTGCTTTGGGGTCCTTAGGACCAAGTAAAGCGCTATACAAATACAGACCATTTACCATTTAAGCAAATTAAATATGTCATAAACAAAGCAACCACGCTGAGGAAAACACAGTGTATTTCCTCAGTAATGCAGAGCAGGAGCAAAGTCATTTTTGGGGAGTAAAATGAAACCAAGCAAATCAAGGTCAGGTTCCAACTTTCCTGAGATGTCAAAGGATTGTGTGCTTGTTGGTAACCTTTATGAAAAAAGAGCAGAAATAAAACCACTGTGACCACAGTGGTTCCCGGCAATTGAGCTTAAATTTAGTTTACATCAGGACTAAATCTTAAATGCCAGAAAACAATTTGAGAACGTCTTGATTTCCTTCCTCTTCTGCTTCACATACATATTTAGTCGATGGTGTTGAGATGGTGAACTGGAGTAATCATGGCAGATTCTGCAAAGGACATGCTCAAGATAGCGGCCCCCATTTACTAACATGTGCAACACAAAAGAACTGCGCAAAGAGTTTTTACGCAAAATCACCATCAGATGTATGACACGAACACACAGGACAAATGTGTTCTTGCTGTATGATTTGCATATGATAGGGAACAGGACTCATTTCAAATCAACCACAGCCCATTTCTCTAAATAAGGATAGCTATAAAAGGAAATACATTTGCACTGAAGAAAATAAAAAGAACCCTAGCCAGGCAGATAAAAAAATAGTTGGGCCAAGTATCCCTTTAACCTTAACTAATGAACTAATGAACCGTGAATCTCTTCAAAACTAAAATTTAAACCACTAGATAAGAAGTTACTCATAACCATCTCACATACGTAACATTATCTACAGCTACTTTCAGTAGCATTGATCGGTTGGAGACTCTTTTTCTTCAATTGATCTTTCTGAGTTAACTTCAGTAATTACTTCCTCCAAACCATCAACATGTCTTTTAGACCCTATTCCTATAAGACTGCTCTGAGAAGTTCTACCATTAATTAATGCTTCAATGTTTAATAATCGGCTATGTACCACAGGCCTTCAAGCTGGCAGTTAAATTAGTAGTTAAATTCTTACATGAAAAGCCATCACTTGACCCATCTTTCTTAGTTAATTATAAGCTATAATATTTTATTAGAGCGATTACAGCATGCCGTAGGTGTTAAAGGTACTGCAGTGCGGTGGTTTGAATCATACCTATCTAACAGAATCCAGTTTGTTGTTGTAAATGTAAACTTAAGTTAAATATGGAATTCCACAGGATTCTGCGCGAGGAACAATTCCTTTTACATTACAACACATAGTGAGGTTTCACTCACTATGTGTTTATGCACCTCTCTGCATATAATCATTAGTAATTATTAATCTCCTAATCACTGATTCTCTTCCACAGTGTGTATTTATCCTGTC